AGAAAAAAAAAAAAAAAAAACTAAAACAGAATCACACTGAACTGTGGTGTTGGAGAAGACTCTTGAGTGTCCCTTGGACAGCAAGGGGATCCAACCAGTCCATCCTAAAGGGAATCAGTCCTGAATATTCATTGGAAGGACCGATGCTGAAGCTGAAACTCCAGTACTTTGGCCACCTAATTTGAAGAAGTGACTCATTTGGAAAGACCCGGACGCTGGGAAAGATTGAAGGTGGGAGGAGAAGGGGACGACAGAGGATGAAATGGTTGGGTGGCATCACCAACTCAATGGACATGAGTTTGAGTAAACTTAGGGAGTTGGTGATGGACAGAAGGCAATGGCAACCCACTCCAGTACTCTTGCCTGGAAAATTCCATGGTCGGAGGAGCCTGGTGGGCTGCTGTCTATGGGGTCGCACAGAGTCGGACACGAGTGAAGCGACTTATTAGCAGCAGCAGTAGGGAGGCCTAGTGTGCTGCAGTCCATGGGTTCGCAAAGAGTTGGACACGGCTGAGCAACTGAACTGAAGTGACTGAACATTCCATTGTAAGAATATACTTATTTTACTTATGGTAAGCCTAATAGTTTATCTACCTATTTAATCACAGGGTGTTGTCAGGTCTGTGATTAATGGATTACTGAACCCTTGTCCAGGGGCTTGCTTTAAGCATTAGACTATTGTACCATCTGAAAATAGTATGTATTTTGATTGTTTTCTTGTCCACAAGCTTATTGTTTGTTGGAGGAAAGAATGCAGGATACCCGATAGCATTTTCGAGCATTTCCTATGTGCTTTTTTGTCACACACTTTGTCTCAAGATCGCGTATATTCCTCACAGCAACCCTACTCCGTTGGTACCGTTTTTTACAGAGCAGTAAAGTGAGGTTCTGGAGGAGTTAAGTAACTCTCCAAGGCCACACGCTGGATAAGTGGAGGATCCCAGGAGAGGGCCAGGTTCACAGCGCAGGGAAATCTCCAGTTTACTGAGGGTCAGATGCTTCAGGTCCCAGTGACAATGGGCCTGAAAGCTCTACGCAGTCCAGATCTCCAGACTTCCTGGAGCTGCCACCTACTGCTGTTTTTCCGCTACGCCGCAGAAAATACTCTCAGAGACCGATTCTGCCTTCACATACCATGCAAATTCTATGGCTGGAAGGCCTGAGTTCAGCAAGGGAAAAGCTGTGTGCTTTTCAGCCTCTTTCCCAGGCTGCGGTGGAAACCCCGCCCCCGTCTCCGTGGAAACCCAGCTTCTGCGGTCGCTGTTACCAAGGGGCGGAGCTGGGGGGCGCTGCCCTTCCCCCGGTCTGCAGCGGCTCTGGGGCTGGGAGCGATCACAGTCACCCCTTAACCTCTCTGTTCCTCTTCTCCCCTGACCTCCCTTCCTCTTGTCCTTTCGTGTCCCGAACCGCATCCTGGGGCCCGCACTCCTGCACGGACTTCGGCGTGGACGGCGCACCGCGATTGCGGGCCTGCGATCCGTCCTGCGTGGCCTCCACCGACGCCCCCACCTCCCGGGCCCACCCCTCGGCGGCGCTGATTGGCCGCTTCTGGGCCACATTCCCCCGCCCCCTGGCCCGGCAGGGTCCTCGGCCCAGCGGAAAGTTTTCTTTGCCGGGAGGAAGTTGGACGTTCGCAGACTGCGAGAAAGCAGCTCCGGAGGCTGCAGGGGTCTGGGCCGCCATGGAGGAGCCCCCTTTGAGAGAGGAAGAGGAGGAAGAGGAGGAGGAGGAGGCGGGCCCCGAGGGGGCTCTGGGCAAGAGCCCCTTGCAGCTGACCGCTGAGGACGTATATGACATCTCGTACGTGATGGGCCGTGAGCTGATGGCCCTGGGCAGTGACCCCCGGGTGACGCAACTGCAGTTCAAGATCGTCCGCGTCCTGGAGATGCTGGAGACGCTGGTGAATGAGGGCAACCTGACGGTGGAGGAGCTAAGAATGGAGCGGGACAACCTCAGGAAGGAGGTGGAGGGGCTGCGGAGAGAGGGCTCGGCTGCCCGCCCGGAGGTGAGTGCTGGAGAGCGGGGACCTGCCCCGGTGGCAGGGTGCAGGGAGCGCCCAGTGGGAGGGGGCCGCTTACCTCTCTTGAACATCCAAGCCCCTCAAAACAAATCCCCGCGAGTATCAAGTCCTCAGTTTAGAAGTGTTGTGTGTGCTCAGTTGCTCAGTCTTGTCCGACTCTTTTCGACCCCGTGGACTGTAGCCCACCAGGCTCCTCTGTCCATGGGATTTTCCCAGGCAAGAATCCTGGAATGGGTTGCCATGCCCTCCTCCAGGGAATCTTCCTGATCCAGGGATCGAACCTAAATCTCTTGTGTCTCCTGCATTGGCAGGTGGATTCTTTACCACTGCTCCTGGGAAGCCCAGAAGCTTTATGATAGGTAACATTAACTGAGCACTGACTAGGTGCTGGGCCATGCACTGAGTATGTTCTAAAGCAGAGGCTTCCTGCTGGAAGAGGGAAGGGCAGAGTCTTAACCACTGGACCACCAGGGAAGTCCATCTTTACTTGCAGAAGACAGGTTGATGGGGACCTTGAGCAGTGGTTCTCAAGCTTTACTGTGTTACTCACTCAGTCATGACCAACTCTTTGCGACCCCATGAATCACAACACGCCAGGCCTCCCTGTCCATTACCAACTCCTGGAGTTTACTCAAACTCATGCCCATCGAGTTGGTGATGCCGTCCAGCCATCTCATCCTCTGTCATCCCCTGCTCCTCCTTCCCCCAGTCCCTCCCAGCATCAGGGTCTTTTCCAATGAGTCAACTCTTTGCATGAGGTGGCCAAAGTATTGGAGTTTCAGCTTCAGAGTCAGTCCTTCCAATTAATACCCGGGACTGATCTCCTTTAGGATGGACTGGTTGGATCTCCTTGCAATCCAAGGGACTCTCAAGAGTCTTCTCCAACATCACAGTTCAAAAGCATCAATTTTTCAGCACTCAGTTTTCCTCACAGCTTTATCAGGCATCAAAATCACCTTGAATGATTAAAACACAGATTGGCTGGCCCTAGCCCCAGAGTTTCCGACTCAGTAGGTCTGCAATGGGACCTAGAATCTACAACTTTTCACAGGTTCCAAGATGATACAGGTGCTCTCGGTCCAGGTTTCACAATTTGAGAATCCTTGACCTGGAGTAAGAAATGCATTTTAACTATAGAGAAATTACTGCTTATGACCACAGAAAAATATGTACAAGAATATCCAGGGCAGTTTTATTCATAATTGTGTCAAACTGGGAAACAATCCAGATGGAACAGAGGAATGGATTTTTTAACTTGTGGTATGGAATACTATACAACAATGAGAAAGTACTGAAACACACAACTATATGGATGAACCTCACAGATATTACATTGAGAGGTAGAAGCCAGGTACAAAATAGAGCCTCCTGTATGTAGAATTCAAGAATAGGCAAACTAATCTTTATATATATATACACACACACACATGGGTATATACATATGGTAAAAATCATCAAGCTATAAATTCAAGATTAGTGCATATTTCTGTATATATGTTATACCCCCATTTTACAAAATTACATTTTGCATCAATATCCAGAACTGATGAAACCGAAAGTTTCAAGAAACAATTTATCCTGACTCACCCTTACTAAACATGATATATAGTCATACTTTCCGATTCTATTTTTATGAATTTTTAAATTATTGCACAACTCACTAAATTAATATCACAACTGTCTAGTGGGTCTCCAGTTGCAGTTTTAAAAAAAACCTTCCCCAAGTGAATTATCTCATTTAATCCTCATACTATTATTATTCCCATTTTATAGAAGCGGAGACATAGAACAATTAAGTAATCTGCCGAGGACTTATAGCAAGTGAGAGGTGGAGGCAGGATTTTAGTTCAGAGATGCTAGTCTGTTTTGGTTTTTTTTTCCTGCTGTACTGGGTCTTCATTGCTTCTTGAGGGCTTTCTCTATTTGCAGCGAGCAGGGATTACTCTCTAGTTGCAGTGCATAGGCTTCTCATTGTGGCAGCTTCTCATTGTGGTGGCTTCTCCCATTGAGGAGCACAGACTTAGTTGCCCCAGGGCATCTGGAATCTTCCCAGACCAGGGATCAAACCCATGTCTCCTGCATTGGCAGGCAGATTCTTGTCTACTGCACCATCAGGGAAGTCTTCAGAGATGCTAGTCTTTTTTTTTCAGAGATGCTAGTCTTAACCACACAGTACTGAAGTACAGACCTATGACTTTACTTGTGGTAACATTTGATGAGTGACTACACTGTGAGGGCCCTGGAGTTATGGAGCTAAATTAGACAAGGTCCCTGACTTCATGGAACCTCACAACTAATGGGAGAAGCAAGACACACAGACCTTCAAAACCAGCCCACAGGATTCCAGACCGAGAAGTGTGCCATGAAAGGAAAACAGGAACAGGGTGGCTGAAATTCACAGGGAAGAGTGAAGATTTCTGGTAGCTTTGTTGGTACACTTTTACTGTTTACACTTTTGTTGGTACCTACTCATTAGTCATGATGACAATTCTATTTGTAGATAAGGTTCTTCTTTAGGATCTGTCTTATGAGATGGTTGAATATCATGATTAGTAGCCTGATTTTTGAGATTCAAGAGCAGTTAAATGACTTGCCCAAGATCCCTCAGCTCACATTTTGCACTTGTTTCCTGTCATCTCCAACTCCAGGCACAAAGATAGACCCACGATGGATCATGAATAGTGTGGTCTGCACGGGGGCCAGGCCATTTCCTGCCTGGGGCGTAGCAGACAAGCTTCATTAGCCCCAGATGAGATAGCACATTTTCCTCCCAGACCATAGTCTTGAGAACAAGCGTGGGGGAAAAGGCAGAGAGAATGAATATTTAATGCCACTAGACAGTTTGTAAAAATATGCCCTTGTCTTTTTTTTTCTTGTTTTCTTACTTACTATATTTAGCTGTGGTAAAGTAGAGGTGAAATTTACCATCTTAATCATGTTTCAGTACAGAGTTCAGTGGCATTCAGTCAATTCACACTATTATGCAACATCACCACCATCCTCTCCAAAATGCCCATCTTGCGAAACTGAAATTCAGTGCCCACTAACCACTAACTCCAAATTTCCCTTCTCCCCCGAGCCTCTGGTAACTCTGTTTTCCTTTCTGTCTATATGAATTTACCTATTCTAGGCACTTCATATAAGTAAAATCAGATGATTTTTGTTCTTTTGCCACTGACTTATTTCATTTCATGTCCCAAGGTTCCTCCATGTTGTGGCATGTGTCGGAATTTCCTTCCTTTTTAAAGCTGTATAATATTCCATTGTAGGGATCCACCGGTTTGTTTATCCATCTGTCAATGGACACATGGGTTGCTTCCATCTCTTGATCTGTATAAATATTGTTTCTCTGAACATGGATTTATGAATCAATCTTCAAGCACCTGCTTTCAAGACTTCTGGGAACTGCTGTATCATGTGATAATTCTGTTGTTAATTTCTAAAGGATTGGCCATTTGGTTTTACATAGGGACTGCACCATTTTACATTCTATCTACTGTGCCCAAAAATTTCAGTTTTCCCACATTCTTACCAAAACTTGTTTGTCTTTTTTGGTTTTTTTTTTTTTCTGGCCACACCATATGCCATGTGGGATATTCCTTGTGAAGTGACGTGAAGTGGAAGTCACTCAGTTGTGTACGACCCTTTGTGACCCCATGGACTATACAGTCCATGGAATTCTCCAGGCCAGAAAACTGGAGTGGGTAGCCTTTCCCTTCTCCAGGGGATCTTCCCAACCCAGGGATTGAACCCAGGTCTCCAGCACTGCAGGCAGATTCTTTACCAACCGAGCCACAAGGGGTTCAAACCCATGTTCCCTGCAGTGAAAGCACAGAGTCTTAACCACTGGACCATCAGGGAAGTCCTGCCAACACTTGTTATTTTATATTTTGTTTGTTTGATTACAGTAGCCATCCCAATAGGTGTGAGATTTTTTTTCCTTTGTCTTTTTAAAATTTATGTTCAAAATTCAAAAGTTACAAAAGTATTTGCCTTGGAAAAGCTCTCACATCCCCTCCTTGGAAAAAATTTAAGCAATCAGTTTCTAAAGTATCCAGAAATACTTCATGCAGACAAAAGCAGGTATGAATATAGTTTTCTGTTATTCACACAGAGAGTATGATAATATATACCCTGTTCTTCCCCTTGCTTATTTTCACTTAATATGGCATGAAAGTGGTACTAAATCAGAATATAAAGAGCTTCCTCATCTTTTTTTAAAAATGTATTTATTTATTTATTGGCTGTATCAGCTCTTAGTTGCATGCAGGATTTTTAGTTAATATTACTGGCCTGTGGGGTCTAGTTACTTGACCAGAGATCAAACCTGGGTCCCCTGCATTGGGAGCTCAGTCTTAGCCACTGGGTCACCAGCAAAATCTCTATTTCCTCATCTTTTAATGGCTTTTGGAAACTTCCATTGTACAGTAATATCAACTGTTCAACCTGAGGGTTCCCAGCTTGGAGTTTTTGGGACCCCACTCCCCCCTGTTCCCCAAGATTATGAATCTGATCCAGGAGATCCATGAACTTGCATGGGAAGAAATTATATTTTTATTTTCACCAGCCTCCAGATGAAATGTACCACTTTATTCAATCATGAATGCATTCATTTTGGTGTTTGGTAGAAATTAACACAATACTGTAAAGCAATTAGCCTTTGATTTAAAATAAATAAATTTTAAAAAATCATGAATGTAGAAAACAAACCACAGTAATATTATCAGTAGTACCTGTGACAATCATCAGTGGAAATCACAGGTGTTTTCATATCCCATTACAATGTAGTACATATCTCAAAACTTTGTTTTTGTTCTCTATCTTATTGGACCTGTGGCTACATCATGTTTAATGAAGGAGCAGGTCTCGGGATCACATATTTATTTTTAGATTTTGATGAGTATATATTATCTTAGTTGGTTTCCTTGTAATCCTATGCCTTTTGTTTTATACATTTAAAATCATTCTGAGATGGAATCTACATGGGCTTTACCAGACTGCCGAAAAAGGTCTATAGAACACAGAAATGTTAAGAATCTCAGCTTTAACCAGCTTCCTATAAAAAGACCTTTGTTTTCCAATCATTTGCTCTGAGCTGGAGCCTCAGTGGATTACTCTGATCTGTACCAGTTGGCGCCTGAGTATGTAGAGGAAGTGGACTCACTGGGTCAAAGGAAAGGTATTTGACGTTTTAATGTGTATACGTGCTAAGTCACTTCAGTTGTATCCGACTCTTTGCAACCCTATGGACTGTATCCCACCAGGCTCCTCTGTCCATGGGATTCTCCAGGCAAGAATATTGGAGTGGGTTGCCATTCCCCTTCTCCAGGGGATCTTCCCGACCCAGGGATGGAACCTGGGTCTCCCGCATGGCAGGCAGATTCTTTACCGTCTGAGCCACCAGAGAAGCCCAGTGCCACCAGGAACTGTTGCCAAATTGCACTCTAAAGGGGATAAAGTGGTTGGCTCCCTTTGCAGTCAGCAAAGGAGCCAGTTTCCCCACAGCTTTTACGACAGTGTTTTCTCAAACACCACTGATATCTTTCGGTCCAAGAGGAGGAATGTGGACACTACTGCCTTTCTCTTTGCGGTGTGCCTTATTCTCTTTCTCACCTGTAGAGTATTCCAGAGTGTGGTTGTGCCTCCGTTTATTTAACTAGACTTCTGCTAATGGACATTTAGGTTGTTTTCAAATATTTGCTTTAACTTCAGTTTGAAAAAATGTCAAACCTATGGAAGAGTTGCAAGACAAGTGCAATGAACTCTTGTATACCTTTCACCCTGATTCAGTTGTTGTATTCAGGTGTGCGTATATGTGTGTTTGTGTGTGTGTGTAGTGTGTCTTAAGAAATAGACACTGGGGACTTCCCTGGTGGTCCAGTGGTTAAGAGTCTGCCTGCTAGTGCAGGGCATGTGGGTTTGATCCCTGGTCTGGGAAGATTCCACATGCTGCGGGGCAGCTAAGCCCATGCACTGCAACTGCTGAAGCCTAGAGCCCGTGCTCCACAGCAAGAAAAGCCACCACAATGAGAAGCCCGAGCACTGCAACTAGGGAGCAGCTCCCACTTGCAAAACTAGGGAAGGCCACGCAGAGCAACAAAGACCAGCACAGCCAGAAATAAAATAAATAGAATTATTTTTAGAAGAACAGAAATAGACACTGAAACTTCCCTGCTTCCACTGCAGGGGGTGTGGGTTCAGTCCCTGGTAGGGAAACTAAGAGCCTGCTTGCCTCAAAGTCCAGCCAAAAAAAAAGATATACAGACTGAAGTATTTATAGACACCCATATACACATATGTATATACACATTATTTACTCATTCAAAGCCTGCCCAGCTATTTGAGCAGACATTATGGTAGCTGCAGAGTTCGTAAAAGATTAGGATCTTTCAAAAAAAAAAAAGATTAGGATCTTTCACCCTAAATACTAAATACTTCAGTATTTAGTAGACATACTGTTACGTAACCACAATAAATGATCAAATTCAGGGGGGAAAGATGGTAGAATACTAAGATCTAAATTAAATAAAATAAATAGAATTATTTTTAGAAGAACAGAAATAGACACTGAAACTTCCCTGCTTCCACTGCAGGGGGTGTGGGTTCAGTCCCTGGTAGGGAAACTAAGAGCCTGCTTGCCGCAAAGTCCAGCCAAAAAAAAAGATATACAGACTGAAGTATTTATAGACACCCATATACACATATGTATATACACATTATTTACTCATTCAAAGTCTGCCCAGCTATTTGAGCAGACATTATGGTAGCTGCAGAGTTCGTAAAAGATTAGGATCTTTCCAAAAAAAAAAAAGATTAGGATCTTTCACCCTAAATACTAAATACTTCAGTGTGTATCTCCTAGACATACTGTTACGTAACCACAATAAATGATCAAATTCAGGGGGGAAAGATGGTAGAATACTAAGATCTAAATGCCATCCCTATTCAAAATTCATAATAATGACCTTTATAGCACTTTTTTTCTGATGTAGAATCTAGTATAGAGTTGTACAGTATCTTTAGGAAATCCCTCTCTCTCATTTTTTTTTTTTTTTGGGCCACACCTTGAAGCATGTGGAATCTTAAATTCCCCAGCCAGGGATCGAACCCTCGCCCCCTGTAGTGGGAGCTTGGAGTCTTAACCACTGGACCACCCAGGGAAGTAGGACGCCTCTCTTTAGTCACCTTCAGTCTGGAGCAGTTCCTCAGCTTTCCCTTCTCTTTCATGACATTGACAGTTTTGAATATATTATGTATCAGGCTCTGTAGAATGTCCTTCAACTTGAGCTTGTTCTGGTGTCTCCTCACGGTTGGATTCAAGTAATACGTGTTTAGCAGAGTTTTCACTCAAGCAATGCTGTATCCTTCTCAGTGTCTTGTATCAGGAGGTGCCTGATTCAGTCTGTCATTACTGGTGATGTTTGGTGATGTTAACTTCAGCCCTTGGATACAGTGTTGTCCACAAAATTTCTGCACTGGAAGGGTGCTTTTATGCCCTTTGTAATGTGCAAGTAGCCTATGGGAAAATACTTTGAAACTGTGTAAAATATCCTGTTCTCCAACAAATTTTCACCCAATGGTTTTAGATCTATTCATTAGCCTTGCCTGAATCAATTATTACTAAATTGGTTGCAAAAGGATTTCCTAACTCTTATCATCTTCTGCACATTAATTGGCATTCCAGGGATCTCCTCGGTGGTCCAGTGGTTGACTCTGTGCTCCCAATGCATGTGTCTGGGGTTTGATCCCTGGCCAGGGAAGTAGATCCCCCATGCTGATCCCCCATGCTGATCCCGCATGCTCCAACTCTTAGTTCGCTTGCTGCAGTGGAGAGTTCGCATGCTATGACTATAAGATCACAGGATCTTATAGGATCCTTATACAGGATCCTGTATCCTGTATCTTTCCATGATACAGGAAAGATCAAAGATCCCCTGTGCCTCACCTAAGATCTGGTGCAGTCAAATAAATAAATAAATATTAATTGGCATTCTGCTGTAAAGTACAGATTCCCTTCCTCCCCAGTGTATTAGTCAGAGAAATAGAACAATAGGAGATATAGATGTAGCTATAGATATAGATGAGAATATTCATTATAGGAATCAGCTCAGGTGGTTATGGAGGCTGAGAAGTTCCACAATCTGATGCTTGCAAGCTGAAAAACCAGAAAAGCTGGTGGTGTAATTCAGTCCAAGTTGGAAGGCTTGTCTCAGGGGCTGATGGTAAAAGTTCTGGTTTGGGACAGTTCAAAATCCCAAGAACTAGGAACATTGATGTGCAGTGCTCAAGGGCAGGAGAAGAAGGATGTCCCAGCTCAGCAGGGAGTGAATTTTCCCTCTCTCCACCTTTTTGTTCTGTTTGGGCCTTTAATGATGCCCACCCACACTGGGGAGATCCCTCTGCTGTACTTAGGTCACCAAATCAAATGCTAATCTCTTCCAAAATGCACCTTCACACACACCTCAAAATAATGGGCTTACCAACTATCTGGGTATTCCTTAGCCCAATCAGGTTGACATATAAAATTAGCTATTAGATCCCCATTAATTATTTAATTAATTTAAATTAAACAATTATAGATTCCTGAATCCTCTTTTTATTTGATGACTTATTATCCATTCTTGTTATTATTCATGTTATTACTCAGATTGTTCAGTTTGGCCAGTAGGAGCACCTTCAAACTATGTCCTTTTGATCTGTCTCCATCCCTTATACAACGGAATATTCCAGACTCAACTTGGACCTCCACTGTTCCAGCCCTAGACTCGGCCCTTCTCCAAGGAGCCCTGGCTCTTTTCTTGGAGAATAGTCCTTAGAACTCTTACTTCTTCTTCTTCTTTTAAAATTTTTTAAAGAGGATCTTAGTTCCCCAACCACAGATCACACCAGGGCCCAGAGTCCTAACGAAAGCACAGAGTCCTAACCACTGGGCTGCCAGGGAATCCCCAGAACTCTTTACATCCACCAAACGCCTGCAGCAGGCAATGCCTCCCCTCATCTGGCCCCTGGGAGTAACAGAGCAAGAGAACGTCCCTTTCTGGGATGGAAAGTCCTTCCTCATGTGGGAAAATGTATAAGCGATGTCCTTTCTTACAGGTGGACCTGGGACCAGACAAAATGGTGGTTGACCTGACAGATCCCAACCGACCACGCTTTACTCTGCAGGAGCTGAGGGACGTGCTTCAGGAGCGCAACAAGCTCAAGTCGCAGCTGCTGGTGGTGCAGGAAGAGCTGCAGTGCTATAAGAGGTGGGCTTTGCTGCCCTGGGGCTCCTGCTCTGCAGACCCAGGCCCTGTCTGGGACTCCTTGACATGTTACCTATCTGTTCTGATGTTCGTTCAGTCAACTTACTGGAGACCCACTCTATGCGGGAAACTATTCCCGGCACTGAGGGTAGAGCAGGGGACAAACTACGGAGTCCATGCTAGTCTACAGGGAAGATAGGCACTCAGCCAGGAAGCCTGCAGTGAACACGCCGGATGAGGGTGGTGGATGCTGAAGAGAATGTAGAAAAGTGACTTGACAGAGACTGGGGTGCTGGGGAGGGGCCTGTGTCAGATTGGGTGGACAGGGAAGACCCCCTCTGAGGTGAATAACAAGAAGCAGCCAACCAATTAGCAGTTTGGTTGGGCAAAAGTATAACAGGAAGTGCAGAGGTGCTGGGGTGGGAACCATTTGGCCAGTTTAGGGGACCCACCACGGTGGAATTTGGAATGTGATAAAATGGTTCAGAAGAAACCAGGAGCTGGTCGTGTTGGCCACAGAAAGGAGCTTTAGGTTTTTTATTTTGTTGTTGTTGTTGTTTTTATTGGAGTATAGTTGTAATGGCCATCCACTCCAGTATTCTTGCCTAGAGAATTCCATGAACACAGGGGCTACAGTCCACGAAATTGCAGAATCAGACACAACTGAGTGATTAACACACGTAGTTGCTTTACAGTGTCATATCAATTTCTGCTCTACAGCAAAGTGAATCAGCTATTTGTGTACATATAACCCCTCCTTTTTGGATTTCCTTCCCATCTAGGTCCCCACAGAGCACTGAACAGAGTTCCCTGAGCTATACAGTAGGTTCTCATTAGTTATCTATTGTATACATAGTATCAATAATGTATATGTGTCAATCCCAACCTCCCAATTCATCCCACCCGGACCAAGGAGCTCTAGTTCTATAGCAAATGTAACAGGAAGACTCCGGGATGCCTTAATCAAGGGAATGACTAGGTCTGATTCACTATTTGAAAAGATCAGTGTGGTGATTCTGATAACTGAACAACTTGGTTATGTAAGAGAAAGTCCTTGTTCTTTGGAAAACCACTTAAGTATTTAGGAATGAGGGGGTAAGATTTCTCCAATTCACTCTCGAGAGTTCAGAGAGAAGGTAGATAATTGCAGGGGTGGATGATTCCGTGGATGGAAAGATGGATGGGTGGCTAGGTAGGTAGATAGATACATGGACAAGCATTTGAAGGATCGGGGTAAAAAAATATATGGAAAGTTTTTGCACTAATACTATACCTTTTCTCTAAGTTTGAAAGTGTATGAAAATTAAAAGTTAAAAAAATCATCGTAAATATTGTATACAGGAGGAATAATAGGATAAGCAAGGCAGGAAATAAGGAAGTTGTTGATATAGCAGGTTTGGACTTTGTTGTATCCCTCTGTACCATGTTTCCTGAAATGTTTTACTTTACATAGGTATTTCTTGAAAAGGAAGCTCTGGGAAGTCCCCTGGTGGTCCTGTGGTCAGGATTCGGCGCTTTCACCGCCATGGCCCAGGTTCAGTCTGTGGTTGGGGAACTGAGATCCCACAGGCCACATGGCACAGCAAAAAGGAGCTCTGTGGTTGAATAATTCTGAGAAGCCCGCAGTTAAACAAAGCAGTTTCATTAGAGGCAGGCAAAGGAAAGACCAAAAGCATAAAAATGTATCGCCTACTAATATTTGTTTGTTTTTATTTATTTATGTGTGTGTGTGTTTTGGCAGCGCTGAGTCTTCGCTGCTTTTCCCAGGCTTTCTTTAGTCGTGACGAGCTGGGGCTGCTCTTTGTTCAGTGTGAAGACTTCTCTTGGTGGTGGCTTCTCTTGTTGCAGAGCACAGGGTCTAGGCACACAGGCTTCAGTAGTTGCAGCACACAGGCTTGGTAGTTGCGGTCTGCACGCTCTAGAGCACAGGCTCAGTCAACTAGTGTTTGTTTCCTTTTGGTGTATTGGTGGTGCTGCACAGTACATGGGATCTTAGTTCCGTGGGGGCAAACCCATATCCCCTGCACTGGAAGCGTGGAGTCTTAACAATGCTTCCGGACCACAGGGAAGTCCCGTGCCAACTAATATTTATCAGTTCGGTTCAGTTTAGTCACTCAGTCGTGTCTGGCTCTTTGCGATCCCATGGTCTGCAGCACTCCAGACTTCCCTGTCCATCACCAACTCCCGGAGATTGCTCATGTCCATCAAGTCGGTGGTGCTATCCAACCACCTCATCCTCTGTAGTCCCCTTCTCCTCCTACCTTCCATCTTTCCCAGCATCAGGGTCTTTTCCAATGAGTCAGTTCTTTGCATCAGGTGGCCAAAGTATTGGAGTTTCAGCTTAGCACTAGTCCTTCCAATGAATATTCAGGACTGATTTCCTTTAAGATGGACTGGTTTAATCTCCTTACAGTCCAGGGAACTTTCAAGAGTCTTTTCCAACACCACAGTTCAAAAGCATCAATTCTTTGGTGCTAAGCTTTCTTTATAGTCCAATTCTCACATCCATATATGACTGCTGGAAAAACCATAGCTTTGACTAGGTGGACCTTTGTCTCAAAGTAATGTCTCTGCTTTTTAATATGCTGTCTAGGTTGGTTATAGCTTTTCTTCCAAGGAGCAAGCGTCTTTTAATTTCATGGCTTCAGTCACCATCTGCAGTGATTTTGGAGCCTAAGAAAATAAAAGAAAGTTTCCATTGTTGCCCCATCTGTTTGCCATGAAGTGATGGGACCAGATGCCATGATCTTAGTTTGTTGAATGTTGAGTTTTAAGCCAGCTTTTTACTCTCCTCTTTCACTTTCATCAAGAGACTATTTAGTTCCTCTTCACTTTTCTGCCATAAGGGTGGTGTCATCTGCGTATCTGAGGTGATTGATATTCCTCCTGGCAATCTTGATTCCAGCTTGTGCTTCATCCAGCCTGGCATTTCACATGATGTACTCTGCATATAAGTTAAATAAGCAGGCTGACAATATACAGCCTTGATGTACTCCTCTCCCGATTTGGAACCAGTCTATTGTTCCATGTCTAGTTCTAACTGTGGCTTCTTGACCTGTGTACAGATTTACCAGGAACTCTGCTTAGTGTATCCCAAGCATAATTTCAATTAGTGTTCACAGCAAGCCTGTGAGTTAGGGTAATGTCCCCAAGATGATCTAAGGGTCAGAGAGGTCAAGTAGCTGCTCGGAGTCCCTGGGCTGGTGGTGGCAACCTTGAGATGTGATGTCAGACAGATTGACATCAGAGCCTGAGCTTTTCCTTATCACACCACCTTGAGACTCGAAAAGTTTGGAAGTATGAGATGTACTCTGAAACAAAACAAAACAAAATCTTTTTTCTTTATTTAACTGTGCCAGGTTTGCAGCATGAGGGATCTTTAATTGAAACGTGCAAACTCTTAATTGCAGTATGTGGGATCTAGTTCCCTGACCAGGGATCCATCCCAGGCCCCTTGCATTGAGAACACAGAGTCTTAGCTAATGGACTACCAGGGAAGTCCCCCAATGGTCTTATTCGTTAAATTCATTCAATGTGACATCATTAAGAGAGCAGCAAAGTAAAAATGTCCTTAGAAAGTCCTATCCGAAAGGACTGAATTCTGCCAGCAGGAATTTAATTGTCTTCCTTCTACTGAGGTTGGAACCACGTTAATGGAAAGACCTGCCTTCATCTCATTTAATAAGTGCTCCAGACACAGTTAATTAAAAAGAGGAACTGCTAGACTGCCAATGCCGTAAGCAGCTTGCAAGTGAATAAAGCAACACATGTTGGTTCCAGTTTTGAATTCCCAGAGAACAACAGATGGGCACTTCCCATCTGGTGCAGGCTGATAGACAGATAGCAGGATTCTGTTTAGTCTCTAGTGTTACATATTCTAGAGAAACCAGCATGTCAACTGAGGTGTTCTCTTAGCAACTGCATCAATTTGGAAGCCCAAGCTCATACTAAGGATAGTTTTTAACTGAAGGCAGCTATGGTAGACTGTTTCCAAAGATGGACACAACAGTTTTTCCCATCCGGCACTCCTTTTGTAGTGAGACTTTGCCACTTCTCTCATCGGAGTACAAGTAGAGTCTATTTTCCCTTTCCTTGAACCTAGATGGCCCTATGACTTGCTTGGACCAGTTTAATGTGATGGAGGTGATGCTGGTTGGCTTCCAAGGTTAAGACTCTCAAAGGCCTAGCAGCTTCCATGTTTGTGCTCTCAGACTGCTGCCTTGAGACTGCTATGCTATGAGGAAGCTCAAGGTAGTCACGTGGAGAGGTCACATGAAGAAGAATCGAGGGGTCCCCTATGACAGCTTCAGCTGACCCACCAACTGAACACGACCACTTGAGAACCCCAAATTGGACCGTCAGGAGAACCACCAAATCAACCATAAGAGATAGAGCCATCTGGGAATTCCTTGGTGGTTTCAGTGGTTTGAATTTCACAGTCTTACTGCCAAAGGCCTGGGTTTAATCCCTGGTTGGAGAACTGATATCCTACAAGCTGTGCAGAGCAGCCAGGAAAAAAAAAAAAATAGAGCCATCATGAGAAGTCATAAATCATTGTGTGTTTTTTGTTTTTTTGTTTTCTTTCTTTCTTTCCTTTTTTACTTTTGGCTACACCCTGTGTCATGTGTGGGATCCTAGTTCCCCAGTCAGGGATTGAACCCACTGGACTGCCAAGGGAGCCCCCCATCGTTGTTGTACACTAAGTTTTAGGGTGTTTTGTAGCTGTAGGTAGTGGAGAAAGGTAATTTTTGGATCAAGCTGACAGTGTGGTTGGTTTTGGCTCTTTCTGGCCTGTAGACAGCTGCCACATTGCTGTGTCCTCAGCTGGTGGGGAGAATGAGAAAGAGAGAAAGCTGAACCTCCTTTTGAAAGGGCACTAATCCGTCATGAGGGCCCACCCTCATAACCTCATGTAAACCTAATTGACTTCCAAAGGCCCTATCTCCAAATACTGTAATACTAGGGGTAAACCCCTAACTAGGGGTTAGGGCTTCAACACACAAATTCTTAAAAAAAATTTATTTTTTAATTTTTTCTTGTTTTTTTTACTGTGTTGGGTCTTAGTTTCAGCATGTGGATTACTTTAGTTGTGGCATGCAAGCTCTCAGTTGCAGCATATGAGATCTAGTTCCCTGACCAGGAATTGAACCCAGGCCCCCTGTACTGGGAGCTCAGAGTCTTAGCCACTGGACTACCAGGGAAGTCCCAACATATGAATTCTGGGAGGACATAATTCAGTCTATGGTAAGGGGGAAATTTATGCCTGTACCATAGGCATAAATTTACCAGTTGGTACAGACAACAAAATACCTAAGTGGATCTAATGAGCTTACTGGGTCAGACATTGAAAAACTTCATCACAGTCAGGCTTCTTTTGGTTGCAAGTGACAGAGATCCTATTCAAACCAGCCAAAGTACAAAAGGAGATTTTGTCAATTCATATAGCTGGGAAGGATCCTACAATTGCTCTCAGAAATAAAGGAAAAAACTGCATCTAAGATTTCAGGGTTGGAATCAGGGACCGCAGAACTGATTCTTTCTTTGATTCTTTTTCTTTGTTGGCCTCCTTATCTTGTATTAAAGACAATCCTTTTCTGAATCTTAGGGAGCATGACTGCTGGCAGTCCCAGTTGAGCAAGTGAGAGAGAACAGCCTTCTTCCAAGTTCTGTACATCAAGTCCAGGGAAATACTCTGGCCCTTTTTGGGTCATTTGACCTCGGTATCTTATTGATTAACATCAATCTAGCTCTTCATACCACCTGACTTACTGTATATTTTTACATTTTTACTTATTTATTTGTTCATTGACTGTTTTCTTCTCAATGGAATGTAAACTGCATGAGAGAAGATATTTTATCTGTTTTGTTCATTGCTATGTCTATATACCTTGGTAGACTATGTAGCTTAATAATATTTGTTAAATGAATGAATTCCATGTATTATCTCACTTAATCCCTCAATCCTAGAAGGCAGGTACTTTTATGATCCTTTTATTACCAATTAGGAAATCAAGGCTTAAGTTAAAGCAGCCGTCCCCAGCCTTTTTGGCATCAGGGACCAGTTTCACAGAAGACAATTTTTCCACAGACCAGGGTGGAGCGGGGGATGGTTTCAGGATGATTCAAGAGCTTTACACTTTTGTGCACTTTATTTCTAATCTAATTCCACTGCTGATCTGACAGGAGGTACCAGTTGGTGGTCTGAAGGTTGGGGAGCCCTGAGTTAGAGAATTTATACATGATCATGTTTCTAGAAAATAGAGAAGCCTGAAGTACCAGTCATGGTAATTAGATAAGAGAAAGAAAGAAGAGGTATCAACATTGGAAAAGAGGAAGGAAGATTCTAGAGATCTACGTCAGAATGTCTAACTCTAGAGCTTTCAGTGATATTATTAATATAATAATAATTATGGGAAAAAATATGAAGAAACTTCACTTTCAGTGCCCACTTCAGCAGCACATATACTGCAATTGGAACAAAACAGAGATTAACAGGGCCCCTGCATAAGGATGACATGCAATTTCATGAAGCATTCCATATTTTTTAATAACAATGAATATGTAAATAAATAAACTGTAAAAAAAAAAGAACCTTCACTTTCAAAACTGCACAGATAAGAGATCTGCAATAAAACAACCCACTTATTTATCTCATTTTTTCCAGTGGCCTGATTCCACCAAGAGAAAACCTAGGAGGAAGAAGAGAGAAAGAGACTCTTGTTCCCATGGGCAGCAATGCCAACAGCAACAAGGAGGAGAAGACAATCATAAGGAAACTGTAAGTTGACTTGCTGCCCCACATTGCCACTAAATAATTACTAAAGAAAGGAGTTGGGGTGAGAGGGGGAGGCCCTGCTCTCCTGGTGGTGGTCCTGCAGCTGATATGAAAACTCTATGCCGGTGTATTATGGTATCTTCTAGGCAGTAGTGTAAGCACCTGACATTATTAATTCATTGACTCATCACAGTGACCCTATGAGGTAGATACTGTTATTATCCTTGACTTACAGATGGGGAAATAAATTCCAGGGGGTAAAGCTCTGTACCCAAGGTCACACACATTGTAAGTAGTGAAGTCAGTATTTGAACCCAAGGAAGTCCAGGTTCTACACTCTACTGCCTCCCTGTGATACAATAACAATGCCAGATAATAATACTAATAATAATAAACAATAAGAAAAATAATAACAATAATTATTGGAGTTTATGGGGGATAAATCATCACCTCTTTTACCTCCAACTCTGGAGGGTCCCTTGTCTCCCAACATTAGGACACATAAGAGAGTTTCCTTCGAACACTCCCCTTGTTTTCATGCACCTTTGTTCATTCCTAGTTTCTTTGGTTGCTGCACCTCAAACCATAGAGTGTGAGATGATTAGTTAAAGTTCAGATTCTCAGAAATCAAGTCGCTGGTTCTAGGATGAGGCCCAGAAATCTGGATTTTTAATGAATGCCCAGACAATTGAATGTGGGGAACCTTTGGACAACAGCCTGAGATATACCTTTTCTTCTTTTTTTAAAAAGTATTTATTTATATATTTGGCTGTGCTGGGTCTCAGTTGCAGCACATAGGATCCTCGATCTTCGATGTGACATGTGGGATCCCTTAGTTGTGTGATGCAAACTCTTACTTGTGGCAGGTGGGATCTAGTTCCCCAACCAGGGATTAAACCCAGACCCCCGGCATTGGGAGCACAGATTCTTAGCCACTGAACCACCAGGGAAGTCCCCAGATATGCCTTTTCTGACTCCAGGTATGAATACAACTAGGCACATCTTAGTTTCTTCCATTTCTTAAACAAAGGAAAACAACAGAATTGGAAAAAGTAGAGATCTTTTCAAGAAAATTAGAGATACCAAGGGAGCATTTCTTGCAAAGATGGGCACAATAAAGGATGGAAATTGTATGGAACTAACAGAAGCAGAAAATATTAAGAAGAGGTGGTAAGAATACATAGAAGAACTATACAAAAAAGATCTTCATGACCCAGATAACCATGATGATGTGATCACTCACCCAGAGCCAGACATCCTATGTGAAATGCAGTCAAGTGGGCCTTAGGAAGCATCACTATGAACAAAGCTACTGGAGGTGATAGAATTCCAGCTGAGCTATTTAAAATCCTAAAAGATGATGCTGTGAAAGTGCTGCACTCAGTATGCCAGCAAATTTGGAAAACTCAGCAGTGGCCACAGGACTGGACAAGGTCATTCCAATCCCAAAGAAAGGCAATGCCAAAAATTGTTCAAACTACTGCACAATTGTACTCATCTCACACACTAGCAAAGTAATACTCAAAATTCTCCAAGCTAGGCTTCAATAGTACGTGAACCAAGAACTTCCAGATGTTCAAGCTTGATTTAGAAAAGACAGAGGAACCAAAGATCAAATTGCCGACATCTGTTGGGTCATAGAAAAAGCAAGAGAATTCCAGAAAAATATCTACTTCTGCTTCGTGGACTATGCTAAAGCCTTTGACTGTGTGGATCACAACAAAATGTCAAAAACTCTTTAAAAGATGGGAATACCTACCTTACCTACCTCCTAAGAAACCTGTATGCAGGTCAAGAAGCATCAGTTAGAACTGAACATGAAACAACGAACTGGTTCCAAATTGGGAAAGGAGTACATCAAGGCTGTATGTTGTCACCCTGCTTATTAAACTTATATGCAGAATACGTCATGCAAAATGCCAGACTGAATGAAGCACAGGCTGGAATCAAGATTGCCAGAAGAAATATCAATAACCTCAGATAAGCAGATTACACCACCCTTATGGCAGAAAGCAAAGAGGAACTAAAGAACCTTTTGATGAAAGTGAAAGAGGAGAGTAGAAAGCTGGCTTAAAACTCAACATTCAAAAAACTAAGATCATGGCATCTGGTCCCATCACTTCACGGCAAATAGACGGGGAAACAGTGGAAACAGTGACAGACTTTATGTTTTTAAGCTCCAAAATCACTGCAGATGGTGACTGCTGCCATGAAATTAAAAGACACTTGCTCCTTGGAAGAAAAACTATGACTAACCTATACAGCGTATTAAAAAGCAGAGACATTACTTTGCCACAAAGGTCATTCTAGTCAAAGCTATGGTTTTTCCAGTAGTCATGTATGGATGTGAGAGTTGGATCATAAAGAAGGCTGAGTGCCAAAGAATTGATGCTTTTGAACTATGGTGTTGGAGACGACTCTTGGAAGTCCCTTGGACTGCAAGGAGATCATACCAGTCCATCCTAAAGGAAATGAGTCCTGAATATTCATTGGAAGGACTAGTGCTGAAGCTGAAGCTCCAATATTTTGGCCACGTGATGCGAACTGACTTATTGGAAAAGACCCTGATGCTGGGAAAGATGGAAGGTAGGAGAAGGGGATGACAGAGGATGAGATGGTTGGATGGCATCACTGACTAGATGGACATGAGTTTGAGCAGGCTCCTGGAGTTGGTGATGGACAGGGAAGCCTTGCATGCTCAGTCCATGGGGTTGCAAAGAAGTGGACACGACTGAGCGACTGAACTGAGCTGAACTGAGGCACACCTTTCCTCCACTCCAGGCTGAAGCAAGCAACCTGTTGGTCTTGGTTGCTTTGAAAATGTCTGGCCTGGTGACAGTTTACCAGCTCCTGGTCTTTTGGATCGAAAGTGAGAAACAGCCTTGGTCAAGGGTGTCTAACTCAAAAGCCTACGGGGGCCAAGCACTTATTGTGGGTGTGTGAGGGGGGGTGTTGGGTAGGGTAGGGGCCATTTGCTCCTCAGTCCTGTCTGGCCAATGAACAACTTGTTAACAGACCTTCTGATTCTTGAGAGATGCCAAGACATCAGATTTGTTCATGGAATCTGTTTTCCAAATGCTGGCAAATCATTTAAACTTAAAAATAAAAACTGTGTGATCTGAGTGAACCCACATTGTGGGTTGCAACGGGTCCTCAGCCTCCATCCAGCTCTTGCTTCATTAGTCTTGCCTCCCAGGGATGGCTGAGAGGACCTCAGCTTCCATTCATGTATTTGGTCATTAGTCAACAGACTCTCAGTGAGTCTGTGTTATATTGTGCGCCAGGCGAGATATTCACCCTGGGGGTACTGCCGTGACCAACTTTGTAAGGACTGTGTCAACTCCGGTTTTACAGGGAAGTAATTTTGAGGGGTCAGAGATTCTGGGTTACCTTCCAGGACAGGTTTAATTCAGATGCCTTTGTTTCAAGAGAGAAGAGAGATTTTTTGTTTTCTTTTTCTTTTTTTGGATCCTCAGGAACAGAGCGTTCCATTAGTGATTCTCAGCTCATGGCACGATGAGCTTGTTGTCAGCACAAGCTTTCTTTCTTCTTGCTTTTATTTATTCCCTCTTTATCTCCATCCCCCATTCGCAATCTGCTTCCCAGCTTCCCTCCCCCTCAGCCCATCTCATATGTATTTAATGTGTTCTGAAAAACTTATTGTCTTATGTGGATGTGTTTTCAATGGTAACTGATATTTTGTTTAACACTTCATTTTCATTCTGTTTCCTCCTGCTTTTTTTCCCCTTCTTTTTGCCAGGCACTCTTCTTTTTTAGGCTTTTTTTTTTTCTTTCTGCGCCATGTCTGTGGGATCTTAGTTCCCAACTAGGGATCGAACCCCTGCCCACTGCAGTGGAAGCTCAGGGTCCTAACCTCTGGACCGCCAGGGAATTCTTCAGGCACTTTTTAACAAAAATTTTAGTAATATGTTTTACTAATTAATGCTTCCAAAATACTGTCATTTTCAATGATAATAACTATAAAATATTGTTAATGAGATATTTTACAATCTTTTTTTAAAAATAGTAAGCCCTTAAAATCTTATGTATATTTCACACTGACAGCATATTTCCATTAAGACTTGTAGTGGCCGCTGTATTGCGCGGCACAGCTTTAAGCAATATATGGTCAAGTGCTTTGGGTTTTGAGAACTGAGTGTGAATGATCCTTTTCTTAAGTGTTTTTAAAAAATTATACCTAACATAAAATTTACCATTTTAATCATTTTTTAAAAATTGAAGTTAGTTGATTTACAGTGTTGTGTTAGTTTCAGGTGTATAGCAAACTGATTCAGTTATATGTATATATAATATATATCTTTTTAATTATCTTTTCTGTTATAGGTTATAACAAGTTATTGAATATTATTTCATGTGTGGTACAGTAGGTCTTTGTTGTTTATCTATTTTATATATAGTGTGTATCTGTTAATACTAAACTCCTAATTTATTCCTCCCCCGTACTTCCCTTTTAGTAACCATAAGAGATTGTTTTCTACGTCTGTGAGACCATTTTAGTCATTTTTTAAAAAAATACCTTTTTATTTGGCTGCACCAGGTCTTAGTTGCGGGACATCGGATCCTTAGTTGAGGTACTCCTGATCCCCAGCCACAGCACTTGGAGTCTTTAGTCTCAGAATTCAAACTCCTAGTTTTGGCATGTGGGATTTTTTTTTTTTTTTTGGCATGTGGGATCTAATTCCCCGACCAGGGATTGAACCCAGGCCCCTGAATTGGGAATGTGGAGTCCTAGCAACTGGACCAACAGAGAAGTCCCCATTTTTCAGGGGCATTATATATCAATATGTTTACAGGGACTTCCCTTGGCTGACCAGTGGTTAAGACTCTGAACTTTCACTGCACAGTGCGTGGGTTTGATCCCTGGTCCAGGAACTAAGATCCCACATGCTGGGTCATGTGGCCAAAAAAAAAGAAAAAAGGAAATTTATGATATTGTGCAGCCATCACCACAGTCTATTTCCAGAACTTTTTCATCATCCCGTCCTGAAACTCTGTCCCCATTAAACACTAACTGCTCAGTTCCCCTCACCCAGCCCCTGGCAACCACCACTCCCCTCTCTGTCTTCATGAATCTGACTACTCTGGAGACCTCATATAAGAGGAGACATACAGTATTTGTCCTTCTGTGACAGGCTTATATGATTAGCATATTGTTCTCAGGTTCATCCATGTTGTACCACATATCAGAATTTCTTTTATTTTTAAGGCCTGGTGATATTCCATGGTATGTGTAGACCACTTTTGATTTATCTATTCATCTCTTGATGGACATTAAGCAATTTTCTGTTTTGTTTTAATTTTTTTCTTTATTTGACCATGCATGCATTCGTGCTTAGTCGCTTCAGTACTGTCCAACACTTTTCAACACTATGGACTGTAGCCCTGCCCGGCTCCTCTGTCCATGGGATTCTCCAGGCAAGAATACTGGAGTGGGTTGTCATGCCCTCCTCCAGGGGATCTTCCCAACTCAGCGATCGAAACAGGGTCTCCTGTGTTGCAGGTGGATTCTTTACCATCTGAGCTACAAGGGAAGACCTTATTTGAATATACCGGGTCTTAATTATGACCTTGCAGAATCTAGTTCCCTGACCAATAATCAAACCAGGCCCCCTGCATTGGGAGCTCAAAATCTTAGCCACTGGACCACCAGGGAAGTTCCTAAGCAGTTTTTTAAGATCTATCCACCTAGCAGCGTAGACAGTCTACCTCTTGTTTCTAACCCCAGTGATGGGATCCCAGGTTGCCTTCCCCCACTGTGGACAGTGCTGCAGTGAATATCTGCATGCTTATTCATGTCCTCTCATGGATTTGTGTGTGAATTTCCCAGGGATAGACATCCAGGAGGAAAATTGCAGGGCCACGGGGCCTATCAGCCAGGGTTCTTGTTTATCAAGAAACCAAGGTTCACTCAAAAGGAGTGACTGAAAAGGTTTCAAGAAGGGACATTTTACAGATATGGGAACAGAGATAAGGGATGGAGAAGCACCCTGGGGCGGGCAACAGAGGAGCGAGGAGAGGGAGCTGTGAGGGGCCCTGGGGGAGTCAGACTGAAGTGTGGCCTTCAGAAGAGGAACACACAGTGACTAGTGAGACAAGGCCGGCAGGGACAGCCGGGAGTGAATACCCCTACATTTCTCTCTTCCCACCCTCCCAGCTCCTGCTGGTGCTTCCCGTTGGCTGAGCCCAGCCAGAAGCTAGAGGACAAGGGAGCTTGTTGAAGTCATCCACAGATGTCAGCCTCCTGGAGTTGAGAGCAGGCCAGAGAAGGGAGGACATGATTCTGCGGGGGCAAATAGCACACAGAGCATGCATCTTCTTAGTTAAGTATTCCCAGGCTTGTGGGATCTTAGTTTCCTCACCTGGGATCAAATCCAGGCCCCCTGCAGTGGAAGTGTGGAGTCTTAACCACTGAACCACCAAGGATGTCTCTGCCAGGCTTTCTTTTCTCCTTTCTTTTCTTTCCTTATTTTTTGCTTGCACTGGGTCTTCATTGCAGCCTTCGGGCTTTCTCTAGTAGTGGCCAGTTGCGGGCTACTAGTTGCGGGCTACTCTCTCATTGTGGTGCATGGGCTTCTCATTGTGATGACTTCCCTTGCTGTGGAGCACAGGCTCTGGGCACACGGGCTTCGGTAGTTGCAGCATGTGGGCTCAGTACTTGTGGCCCACAGGCTTAGTTGTTCGAAGGCATGTGGAATCTTCCCGGACCAGGATCAAACCTGTGTTCCCTGTGTTGGCAGGCAGATTCCTATTGACTGTACTACAGGGAGGTCCAGGTTTCTTGAATGACTGCATGAAAACAGCTTTGTCAGACAAGACCACTTGAAACCACATTTATTTATTCCTCCAACAAATATTTATTGAGGGTCTACCATGCAGCAGGCACTGTGCTAGGTGCTGGGGTAGAGTGAACAAGACAGAGTCCCTGCCCTCATGGTGCTTACATTCTAGTGGGAGAGGTAGAGAGTGAACTGGTCAAGACAATTTCAGATGGCTCTATATGCACTGAAGACCATTAAATAGAGTGCTAAGAGAGGTTGAGAGGGAGCTACTTTTTCATTTTTTTGGCCTCACCTCGAGGCATGGGGGACTTTAGTTCCCCCATCAGGGATTGAACCCGTCCTCCCTGCCATGGAAGCACTGTCTTAACCGCTGGGCCGCCAGGGAAGTCCCGATAAAGAGCTGCTTTAGATTTGTTGAGTCCTGGAAGGCGCCTGTGAAAAGGCAGCATTCAAGCTGAGCCCTGAAAGACCATAATGATCTGAGTTTTCCCTGCCTTTCTGGCAGAAGGAACAGCGGGAATAAAGGTCAGAGGCTGGAGACAGCTTGAGCAGCAGAGAAGGGAGGTGAGGTTGGAGTGGGGAGTGATCGGGTCGTTCTGGGCCACATGGATCCCAGTGATGACTTTGGGTTTCATTCTAAGTGCTTTGGAAAGACCTTGGAAGGTTTTAAGCTGGGGAGTAACATGTCTGTATTCACCTATAAAAAGCTTAAGGACCTCCCTGGTGATCCAGGGGTTAAAACTCCGTGGTCCCAATGAAGTAGGCATGGATTCAATCCCTGGTCCAGAAACTAAGATCCCACATGCCACACGATGCAGCCGAGAATGAAAAATAAAATCTTTTTGAAAAAACAAAAAGTTTACTCTGACCACTTTGTGGAGAAGGGTTGATAGGACAGAGTCAAAGTGTTTCTTCTCCCTAGAAAGGGTCTCCTGTGGTAAGATAATGTATGAGACAGCATCTCCACCCTACAGAGGGTATCAGATCTGAAAGTGTTTATGTGGGATATTCACTGGCTGAGGATCACACTGGAAACAAGGCTTCCAAACGCATAAGCTCCTGGTTTCTTTCTGCCTCTTCTTGGGGAGTTCTTTGGGTCACATAATTGGAGTTTGAGACTGATATGGCAAAAATGAAATGTATGTAAGCCAGCCTAAGGACATGGGCTTCCCAGGTGGCACTAGTAGTAAAGAATCCCTCCTGCCAATTCAGGAGATGCAAGACTTGGGTTCGATCCCTGAGTTGGGAAGATCCCCTGAAGGAGGGCATGGCAACCTGCTCCCTATTCTTGCCTGGAGAATCCCGTGGACAGAGCAGCCTGGCGGGCTACAGTCCACGGGGCCGCCAAGAGTCAGACTCGACCGAGTGACTGAGCACACATTGAAGACACAGATTTGAAGATAGTGAGGCCGCGATTTCATGATCGGACAAGCATGGGGTGAATGAATGAATGACTTCCCGAAGAATTAGGTCACGCTAAGAAGGGTTTTTATCTTTGTCCCGAGGACAATGGGGAGCCCTGGAAGGGTTTAAGCTGAGGAATGACTTAGCTCTGCACAGTGATGCAGTCATGCTGGCTGCTCTGTGAGTGGGTTGTGAGGGCGGCGGGGGAGGGGGCGGACGGGAAGGCTGCGGTGTTCATCAGGTGGCTCGGCCTGGGGGTGGCAGTGCAGGAGATAAGTGGTGGGATTAGGAACATATCTGGGGCATGGTGACTAAAATACAACAGATGGGCTGACAGGAGAGGAATTGAGAACAGCTCCCAGTTCCTGGCTTGAATGACTGGGTGGGGGGTGATGTCATTTCCTGAGGCAGGGAAGTGGGGGTTGGGAGGTGGTATACATAGGTTCAGGGGGAGGGCGGATGTGCCCTAACGCCTGTATCCACACATGAGTCTGCCGTTGCCGGCAGAGCTGCTAGCGCGGCTGGGACAGGGAGTTGTCTCTGACTAGAAGCAAGAGCCTGTATCCCCATCACTGACTTTTCAGCTCACTGGCCATCTTTGCATCTTTCCGACAACCTGACACTACTTTGTGGTCACCCCCACGTGTCAAGTGCATCAGGAGGACTGAAAGTTTGGTGCTCATGCCTCAGGGGATATCTTTATATGTTTTATCTGTTATTTCCAAGAATTTACATGTTAGTCATTCATTATTCCTTCTCAGGGAACACTGAGAAGTTATTGTTTCCTCTACAATAAAAACCACTTACAATGAAAACAAAAACATTCCAGACTCCATTTGTCAGTCTAGCACAGTGGTTAAGTGGGCTTCTGGACCCAACTCCCAGTTCCAAGACATAATTGTGTGACCTTGGGCCTGTTACTTAACCTCCCAGAACCTCAGTTTGCTCATCTGTAAAATGGGGATATTGACTATACTCAACCTCCTCATGTTGTTACGAGTGTGAAATGAACTAGTAGATGGAAAGCCCTGGAACAGTGCCTGTTGCATAATGAGCTCTTAAGAAATAAACTTTTGATTGAATGGCCTGCAGGAGCTGCTTACAGAATTTGCAGGGGTTTGTGCACCCTCCGCTTCAGAGCTCTCTCTGTTTCCTCTGACCGCCTCCTCTCTCTCTCCACCCAGGTTCTCTTTCCGATCAGGGAAGCAGACGTAGACCTGAGGCCACGACTGCGTTCTCAGACACAGAAGACAACCCACAAAGACAACTTCCACAATCATCTCTCAGTGCCATGCGTACCCACTGCACTTGCTTCTTCGCTTCCCCTCAAAGCCGTCCGAGGAGGAAGGGGTGAGGCTTTCTCCCCGGCTGCAGAACTGAACACCCCTAACGCTGGGCCAGGGCAGGAGAAGTGGCAAAAGAAATCGAGAAAGCAGAAAAAAATAGTGGGGCCACCTGCAGCCCCACTTCAACCATCCAGGGGGCCCCAAACATGTAGATGTCGATGCCAGCTCTGCTTCCCTGGGCCCACGTCTTTACCACACAGCAGTGAAATATACCAGCCCAAGTGGGGATGGGGAGAGGATGCAGGAAAACCTGGTATGGACATTGCAATGATAACTTCACTGATATTTAGTGAATATTTGATTTTGCTCATATGATTTTCTATGTATAATTTTGTATTAAAGTAAAATAACTTTTACACTTTCTGTGTTTTAGAGTGGCCTCTTAAGAGTTATGTGACCTGGTGTAAGGTACTTCTTCAGCCTTTTGGAGTCTTGGTTTCCAAATTTGTGAACTGTATACAGTTGACTCTTGACCAATTCAGTTTGAACTGCGCAGGTCCACTGACATATGGATGTTTTTCTATAGTAAACACCGTGAAATTGAAAGTGAAAATCTCTTAGTCATGTCCGACTCTTTGCGATTCCATGGACTCTGCAGTCCATGGAATTCTCCAGGCCAGAATACTACGTGGGTAGCATTTCCCTTCTCCAGGGGATCTTCCTGACCCAGGAATCAAACTGGGGGTCTCCTGCATTGCAGGCGGATTCTTTACCAACTGAGCTATCAGGGAAGCCCAGTAAACACCATAGTACTGCACAATCTGCATGTGTAGAGATATGTATGGTATATATACATATCTCCATATATGAGATGGTTGAATCTAGTTGGATCTGCATATGTGGAGGAGGAATCTTGAATCCAGAGGGCTGACTATAAGCTATAGGTGGATTTTTTTTTTAATTTTTATTTATTTTTTGGCCATACCACGTGGCACGGGAATCAGTGCTCTGACCAGGGATCAAACCCACACTCCTGCATTGGAAACTTGAAGTTTTAACCACTAGACCACTGGGACTATGGTGGTCTATAGTCCTATGCTTGGATTTTTTCAATGTGGGGAGACTGAGGGCCCGTAACTTCCTGCACTGTTCAAGGGCCAAATACACACACATATGTATATTATAAATATATAACACATGTATACATATATGAATATATATGGGGGACATGTATTTCATTGTATCTAAGTGATGCACCATTGTTTTGTGTGTTGCTGTGACAGAAAAAAAAAAAAACGCTACAACTGATAACATCAAGATGCTATTGACTTTAAGACTCACCCTGATTTCAGCAATGTTAAAATGTGAAAAAGAAGTAAATTTAGGCATCGATGAAATACAGTCCATAGAGAGCAGGAGACTACACTTTGCAAAGAAACTAATGAGCCTGCTGAACATATCCGGTGAGCCTGTCTTCTCAGTGAATAACACTGGCTTAGTGATCATTGTCTCGGTTCCTGCCTGGATTATCTCATTTATTTCTCTAACAACTTGAGGAGATGGAGACTAACTAATATGAATTGCCTAGTTTATGGATTTGGAAATGAAGACTCTGAGAGGTTCAAGTACCTTACATGAGATTGCATAGCTATGAAGTAACTGCCCAGGATGCTAATGCAGGCCTGATTCTAGATTCTTTCTTTTTCTTTTTCAATTATATGACTGCACCGGGTGTTAGCTGTGGCACACAAGATCTTTAGTTGCAGCATGCAAACTCTCAGTTGCAGCATGTGGGATCTAGTTCCCTGACCAGGGCTCAACACTGGCCCCCTGCATTGGGTGTATGGAGTCTTAGCTGCTGGACCACCAGGGAAGTCCCCTCAGGCCCAGGTGCTTAGCTGTGAAGCTCTACGTACCCTGATTCTCCAAAAAGTGATATATTAATAATGAGCACAATTTACTGCACTTACATATGTTGCCTCACCTTATCCCTGTGAGGTGGGCATTACTATTGTTATTCACCCAAGCAGCTGCTAGTATGGTGGGGCTTAGGGGCTTGTCCAAGGCCGCAGCTGGAAGTGACAGAAGTAGGACTTGAACTCAAGTGCAAAGGTCAAAACCACTCTGCCTCCCAGAAGAAGTTGGCGACCTTCAAGTGTCTGGTCCAGAATGTGATTGCAACAGCACAGAGGCTTCTGACTCCTGGAACCCTGTATCATGGTGCACCCCTGACCAGGTGCTCCCCTCTTAATAGCAGGGAGGGAGGAGAAGATTTCTGCCCCTTGGAGGCGAGAACTGACTTGGGAAACAAATCTAACTTCAAACAAAACTGACTTCAGAATCACAGATGCTGGGATGTGGGCGTTCGAATTCCAGAAGGTAAGTTCTTGGAGCTGGGCCCAGTGTGACCACATTCAAGACAGACACAGTTGCTCCCACACTGCAGGCTTCTATCTCCAAACCCTGAGCCAGGAGAGCAGGCTTAGAAGCAGTTGTCTGCCAGTCAGTCCGGGGCACTTGTAAATACTGAATGATAGAAACCACCCAAGGGACTTGCCTGGTAGCCCAGAGACTGGGACTCCACGTTCCCTGTGCAGGGGTCCCAGGTTCGAGCCCTGGTCGGGGAACTAGATCCTGCATGCCACAACTAAGACTCAGTGCAGCCAAATAAATATTTTTTAAAAACACCCCAAATTTTCATCTTAATAGCAGCTGATTCCTGAAGATTATCTTTGTGCAAATACTTTTATGTCCTAAACTCAGTCAATCCTCACAATCACCCTGATGCAAGCACCAGTATTGTCTCTATGTCATAGGGGAGGATAGTGGTGCCCAGAGAGGTTAGGTAACCCACCCAAGGTTACACAGCGGCTGAAACCTGAGGTTCGGTTCCAGGGCTGAGCACTTGGCTGCTAGGCCACACTGTCCCCTCTATGGTGAGCTAGTAGTATATGATATCAGAATCCTCAGGAAACCCCTGCAAGGCGGGTGGGCAGAGGCCTTTCCCAACGTGGACAGATTTCAGAGGGTAAGTGAATCGTTCAGGGCAGTGGCTGACAGATGCTGAAAGCCTATGCCCAGAATGGATCTTTCACCTGTAAACCAAGGACTCTGCCCTCAGTCCCAACCTGCCTCCAGTGGCTTGGGGCTGAAGGAACGCAGCCTCTCGGGGGTGGATTTTGGTATGCGGGTTAGGGATCAGGATCTGGGATACTTCCAGCACCAGACAGGCAAGATTGATGACTCTAGAGACGCCTACCTAAGAATCAAGTCTAGCACATTAGAGACAATGACAACAGCTAAAGTATAAGCTACATGCTCGGCACTCTTCTAAGGGGGCCGTGCGCTTCACTTTAATCTCAAGCAACCCCTGACCCCTTATGGTAAAAATGAAGAGATTGTCCCCTAGGACAGTCACCAAAACTGGTTAAGTGGCCCTTTTGTAAAAGAAATGGGGGACATCCCTCGTGGTCCAATAGTTATCTACCTGCCAATTCAGGGGACACAGGTTCAATCCCCAGTCTGGGAAGATTCCACATACTGAGGAGCAATTAAGCCCATGCGCCACAACTACTGAGCTCAAGTGCCCTAGAGCCTGTTCTCCACAACAGAGAAGTCACTGCAATGAGAAGCCTGCGCACCACAACCAGAGTAGCCCCGCCTCATTGCAACTAGAGAAAGCCTGAGTACAGCAACAAAGACCCAATAGAACCAAAAATAAAAACAAACAAAAATGGGAATTCCCTGGTGGTCCAGTGGCTAGGACTCCGTGCTTTGACAGCTGAGGGCTCAGGTTCGACCCCTGGTTGGGGAACTAAGATCCCACAAGCCACATGGTACGGCCCCAAAAAGAAACAAAAAAATGCATCACTGTTTTCTACCGCTGCCTTGTGGGAAAAGAAACAGAATGACACAGGTAGCCTCGCCTGGCAATAAATATTTTAATTTTTGTTTCATTTTTATGATGACATAATTTTCAAGTTTATTTCCTTTTCTTAAATACAAAGCTAAACCACAAACAGGTACAACCAAGACATTTTATCTCACATTTACACACTCCCATCGGATCCTCCTCCAATTTGCTGACCACTGACCAGGCAAGTGTGGGCTTGGTGGGTGTGGGTGGGGGTGGGAAGGGGAAGACTTCTTAGGTAGCACCGTCATGAGGCCGGGGCTGGGGGGCATTGAAGTTGAGGACAGGTTCTTACGCCTGTCTCCATTCACATTTACCTGGGAGCGGGGGGGGTGGGGTGGGGTTGCGCCAGAGACCCCAGATCACAGCTCTGGAGCCCCAGGCCCCTGAACTACAAGTTGACAGAAAGTGGGAGTTGGTTCCCCCCTTCAGGAAGAAGCTACCCGCTACTCCTGCTGTCACAGTCAGGGTGAAAACTTGACCCTCAGCCATGATCCCTGGGCCTGCCAGCTCCCCTGCCCCTGGCAGCTGGGGTAGGGGCCCTGCCTCTTGGGGCTCGCGGGCTCGCTCTTTGGTTCATGGCTGCAGCTTTACAGGAAGGACACCAGGTGGCCTGACACATGGAAGCCTTGACAGCAGGTCTGGAACTTTCAACCCAAGCACAATCAGGTTGGGGTTGAGGGGGTGGGGGATTGGGTAAGTAATTTCTGGTCCCACTACAAAACCTTAGATTTTTGATTAGAATAGTGTACCATCTCATATCTCTTCTACAGAAGCAAAACCAAGGGTGGAAAAAGAAAAAGCCGAACTAAAAACAACCCAAAACAAAAACGCAGCCACTTCACTCACTTCAAGACCTATATACATGTAAGTTGTCTTCTGTGGTTTTTTTTTTTTGTCTTTTGTGTTTTTTTAAATTTTTATTATTATTTTTTAAAATAAATTCAGTGTTCACATTTCTATAAAGAAACTAACCCAGTTTCGGGAAACCCTGCCCCTGCAAGGGCTAGGTAAGCAATGCTTGTCCCTGCCCACATCTCCTTTGATTCCCGCCCTGATGCTTTAAGGTGCCCGGAAAAGCGGCAGCTCGTGGAAGAGTAAATTGACGCCTGGCCCATGAGCCACTGGGTCAGTAAGCTTTCGAGAAAGCAGAGGGGAAGACTATCTTACTGTGAAACCTTTTTTTAAAAAATATTCATACACTTCAATGTGCGCCTGTCGAGATGTCAGGAAAAACAAGAGCTTGGGAACATCCCATCCAGGCTGTGGGGGAGGCAGTGTCTTCCTCGAGCCCACCTGGCACTAGGATGTTAGGTTGGGGGGGCAGGTATGTGGGGAGCGGGGGAAGAGAGTCCTGGCTCTTCATTTGGAGGCAGGTGCGTCGCCCGGCTTCCTAGTTCATGTTCGACTCTTTCCTCTAAAACCTGTGCTGAGTCTTGGACTGCATGCACGGGAAGCACAAACGTTCGACTTGTATGCAAAAAAGGTACAAAAACAACTAGAATATAAAAGTTTTGGTAATATAAGGCCATCTGTTCAAGTCCACCTTGGAAACCTGTAACAGATATTTAAATACTACAGTGAAAAGGCATCTTAATATACTTTTTTCTTAAAAACATCTGAAGTAATCTGCTAAGATTAAGTGTGTAAAAAAAAAAAAGAAATCAATTCCCTTTGAGGGCACTTTGTCCTTAGAAGAG